CACATTCCTATCCCTGGCAAAAATCCATCCCTGGGAGGGTGGGGAGGCTCTGGCACAGGTTGCCAGGGAAGCTGTGGCTGCCCAATCCCTGGAAATGTTCAAAGCCAGGCTGGACAGGCCTTGGAGCAACCTGGGACACAGGAAGGTGTCCCTGCCTGCAAAATCCATCAAGACACGTGAAAAAGCCACCAGATCTCAACTATCAACCTTCAGCTTGACAATCTCAGAAGTGCCCTGTGGACATGACAAACCCAATAACCACTGGCACCTTTCTAAACAACTCCCTGAAGTGCCAGGTTTTACGTGGCAGCTGGATAAAGCTTTCCCTGCTTGCTCTCAGCTGCCTGATGTACAAAGATGTTCTACAGAATGAACTAACTGGGTGCTGCAAAACCCAGTACATGATCACTGAAGAGACAGCATGAAAAACACATTTAAATACACATTTTCATGGTTACTCAACCCACAGCAACTGAGACGTACAGAGCAAGCAAAGCCCACCTTTCCTCCCCCTTCAGCAATCACAGAGGCACTAGACACAAATCCAATCAATATTTGGATATGAACTTCCCTACCAAGGTTTGTTTTTCTATAATCACTTTTTCTGCTTGGGCAGCACACAAAGATCTTCTTGTCTCAGGTGCCTTGAGAAAAGTGCACCCTGGCAGCAGAAGGAATGGCACTTTGAGGAGGAATGTCACTAAAGGGCAGGGGAGTACAGTGTCCTCACCACACCGTGCTGACCATTCACACAGTGAACAGGATGTGTCTCCCCACTATTCCCATCACATTTTTCCTAACAATTCTCAGCAATGCTCTCAAGAACTGTATGGAGTAACTGGAGACAAACCCTGTTATAATGCAGCACCACACACAGTGCTGCTCATGGCAAACTGGGAGCATTAATTACCACAGGGCTGATCTCACTGGTGCTGAGTTCCTACAAACACCAAAGGACTTTCAGAATCTAAACCACTTTTGTGGGCATGAATCCCACCACAGGTGCTTGTCTGACTCTCGGTGACAGAGTCTGAGCTTGCACAGAAAGGCTTCACCCTGGCTTCCACAGCCCTGCAGCACAGTCCTGCTTCCCTGGTGAACTGAGAGCCTGCTCAGTACCAGCAGCAGGAGGGAGGCTGTGGGCCTGTGGATGCAGGGATGGGAATTGCCACGGGAAGGCAGGCAGGGTTAGATACAGGTCAAACAGTTAAAAGAGGTCGAGGAAAGAAGGAGTTTCTGTGGCTCAGGAGAGGAGCCCACAGCATCCCTCGCTGCCCCCACAGCATCCCCCACAGCCCCCACAGCATCCCCCACAACATCCCCCACTGCCCCCACAGCATCCCCCGCTGCCCCCACAGCATCCCCACAGCCCCTGCTCCCTCCTGCAGAGCCGAGCCGAGCGTCCCCACCCCGGCAGCGCCTCGGAGCCGCCCGCCAAGGCAGGAACAGCCCAGATAAAGCCTCTGACGTGCTGAAAGCCTGAACTGCCACCCCGCGAGGCCAGGAAAGGTGTTTCACATGCTCAGGTGTTGCTCTGAAGGGATAAATAGAAGCAAACGACCTCAAAGGGGCTGTTCCGACAGTTCTGCAGGTGCACAACACTGACCACAGCCAGGTTTTGTTCCTGGGGCTGGGGTGGACTCTGTCACAGGGGAATTGCTGCTAACTCCTGCAGATAATTTTTTAATGAAATGCCTTAATGGAAATGTGATTTTACAGAAGAAAAAAGTGATTTCTTATGGGAAGGTTTCATTGAACAATTTGTTTTCTGAAAAAGGGAGTCTTTCTCAGCATCCAAGAGAAACTCTGGACTAGCTATGGAGCAGCATTCCAATCTTTCCCCACCACAGACACAGGAGAATGAGTTCCCAACTGTGAGAAGGAAAAGAAAATTCATTTATTATTTGCTTACCCAAGGGTTCTCCCTGCCTTAAGCCCCTGTGCTAATGGGCTTTTATATCCTCTTGTGATCAAGAACGTGAAATACTTCTCTACAAGGCAAACAAGCTTTAATTCCCAAAACGGTGACCCTGCTTAGAACTACCCAAAGAATTTTTTAAAAGGCCTAAAAATCAAAAAATCACAAAGCAGGACAACAAGCAAGGGAAAAATCTTCAGTGGGAAGATGTTTCTCCCTAGGGTGATGCCCTCTCCACCTTTGTGTGCCCCTGACAAGGACACTTGTCCCTGCAGAACTTGTTCACTTCCATATCCCTGCACTTCTTCCTAAATGTGGAAACGACTTCTTGTCTACAGTCACTGGGAGTTTTCCTCAGCTTCAGCAGTGTAATTTTCCTCCTCCAAAAAGCCTCACACCAGCTACTGCATCATCTACTTCACGTTAATCATCACAGCTGGTAATGGACTGTAATACCATGCACACACTCATTTCTTTATATATCCGTCAATAAAAATTGTATTTTTGCTCGTTTTATATATATGTACACAAACAAACATATTATGATAAGTGATGCTGTTACAAAAATCATGGAAATATCTGTTCACTGTTAAAAAATGTCTGTTGCTGAGCAGTGAATCAGGAGAAATTCAGTATAGATTTTATAGTACCTTTCCAAAAGTGAGCACGTTCACTGGGGATAAGTGCCACTCACTGCCCATTCACTCGTGCTTTAATGCAAATGCAAGCTGCATTCTGCACACAGGGCTGGATGGGTTTTACGAGGGCAAATGCCCACTTTAGGCAGACTTTAGTTCCCGTGCCAGTGACTCATGTGGCTGTGGTTTATTCCGTGCTGGAAGCGCTGCAATTAGCAGAGCCCTCCCTCCCTCCCTCCCCGCTCCCGGTGCTCCAGGGGAGGAAGCAGGATCCAAGGCCGGGGCTGCTCCAGCTCTCCAGCTGCAGGATGAGCCTTCCAGGTCCTACAGCAGAACGATGCAGAGGCCCTGCCTGCGTTATTCGAATCAGAATTCCACCACAATTCGTTTTCCACCGTCTCGATCCTCTCCCTTGCTCCTGCCTGGCCAGAAAGTGGCACTCATGTGACCCATCCTCGCTACCTGTTTGCCAGGATATTGTCTCAGCAGGCATTCCCAATCCCTGAGTCAGGAGCTAAAATAATAAGGTTTAATGTTTTAAGAGAGTGGTTCAGGAGCATAAAGCAAACAGGCACTCGGGGAATTTTAAATGCTTTGTGCCTGAGCTTTTGGGGTTTATGGCCTCCAGTTTTTCCAGACAGCTGGGGGATCCAGACTGCTCTTAAGGTTTGGGGTGTTTTTATTAAGAAAAGGGAGGTTCTCACATATTCCTGTGATTCTGGAAATCAGGTCTATCAAAAGCATTCTTAATTACAGAGAGGCTGTAAAATTTAAAAAGCTGTAAAACTGCATTACCATGAACTGCTTAAGAGAGTATTAAGGAATCTGGAAATGACTTCTTCATCCCAGTCCTTCCAAGTGGACATCCAAAGCCCAAGTTCCTCTCATCCATAAACACAATTCTTCCAGCCCAAATCCTAACCCAGATGCTTGTGCAACAGGTAGCTCTGCTGCCATTAAAGCTGCTTTTCCCAAATAACATTTTTGGAGGAGATCACCAGGGTTTACTGAAATATGAGCTAAACCACATGAAATTCCACCTCACCACGAGAAAGAACTTCTTTCCATGGAGGGTGCCCAAGCTCTGGATCTCTTTCCAGAGGTGGGCATCCAGAAACATTCCAGACCCACCTGGATGCATTCCTCTGCCACCAATTCCAGGTAACCCTGCCTTGGTAAGGGGTTGGACTGGGAGATCTCCAGAGGTCCCTTCCAATCCCCTGGGATTCTGGGAATGCAGGAAGTTGGGCATCTCAGAAGCACCTTTAAATCCAGCACACATTTACCTGCATTCTCTGATGAACTTTTATAAATGGCACATTTCTTCTGCACTATCCAGCAGCTCAGTTTTCCCAGCCCTAATACTGCACTTTTAAGTTGTCTTCTTAAGAGCATAGCTAGACTTTGCTGGAAGACATTAAACCAGCACAAGACAGACTCGGGATGGAGAACAGCTCCCAAGGACTCACAATCTGCCTGGTTTACAGAAACATCCACTTGGATCCCAAATCACATCCCTAAAGGAACCAACACGCTCACCTGCACCCGGCCTGGCAGCTTGTGAGCAGCAGCAGCGAGAGAGAACCCAAGGAAGAGTTAACACACTCACACCAAAAGGGCAGGAATTTCTAAATTGACCCAAAGCCTTTCCTCATCCTTGGAATTGTCCAAGGCCAGGCTGGACAGGGCTTGGAGCAACCTGGGATGGTGGAAGGTCTCCCTGCCCGTGAGATGAGCTTTAAACCCTTCCAACCCAAACCATTCCAGGCTTCTCAGCAGAGTTTTGGAATAATTTAAATGCCCAGTTCAGAAGGATTCCAATTCACAGTATTTCCTCTCAACATGGTGCATTGCATTAATGCCAATTTTGCCCGGTTGTTGTTCCTCTCTCCCTGAAATAAAGGGATGCTAAAACAAGTGAGGTAACACTTAAGAGGGATCGCACTTCCAGACCAACACTGACACAGGCAGGAAAAAATTCCTCATCCGAAGCCCTCCAGGACCCATCCATCCTCCTGAGGACACCACATCATACCATACATACGTCTGCACTGACGTACACTCTATATTATGTTGTTATCTATGTATTTTACGAGCTGTCCACAACGCCTTATGTAACGGATCCCTGTTTAACATGGAGCAGCGTGTCCACGGCCGCGGCAATCCCGGCCGTTCCCGGGGCGCCCAAAAACACCCACTGGGACACGGCCGGGGAACGCTCCCGAACCGCGGCGTCCGACCGCGGCACCGGGGGCTCCGTGCTGCCGCACAACCACCTTGCGAGGGATGCCGGGGAGGGAATAATTCCCTAGGGAACCACGGCAGCCCGTCCCGGCATCTCTGGGGCAGCACGGGGTCACCCCCCGGCGCCTCGCCCGCAGCACGGACACCCAGCCCGCCCGCGCGGGTCTGCGCGCCCCCCGCCCCGCTCCCGCGGCACTCACCGCCTCCGAGTCTTCAAACCCATGCAGGTACAAGTTGTCGTACATGGAGAGCCGGTGCGGGGCCGGAGGGCCGGGGAGCGCGGCGGCGGAGCGCGGTGAGGCGGCGGGGCCGAGCTCCCTGAGCGCTGCGGCGGCGCCGC